GTTTCAGTTATAACTCCGGATTTTCATCGTTTCAAAAGGATTACCAGCAGATTTTTAGGGATTCTTTTTGTGTTTCCATGGATATCTAACGAATTTTAAAAATTTACAAATAGTAGTTCCAATAATATTCTCAACCTACTTAGAATGTGCTGCAGTTTTAAATGATATATAAATATTTATTGACATTTTCAGAGAATTTTCGACGAGTTTAAGATAGAATTTTTTTTTTCTTCAATATGTTTCAGAGAGTTTCTAAGTTTTTCAGGGATTTTTAAAAATTGCCAAAGATTCCAAACATCTCTAAAAATTGACATCAATTAATATCAAGAAACTGAAAACTGATTTTTGCAAAATTTTAGTTCAACTTTCCAAAATGCATTCACCTTAGAAGAAGTGCATTAGATTTGGATATGATTTGAAAAAGATTTGAAACATATGATTACACCATAATACCATATAATCCCAAAGGTGTAGATTGGGCGGAAATTTATGACTTCTCTTGATTAAGCTATTGCTTGCAACCATAGTCTTGCAAACAATGCTATATCTAGCCTAAAGTGGTTCGGTCGCAAACGAATTGTTGAATTTTGCTTAATAAATTGTAACATCGATACTAAATTGAAATATATACTGCAGTGTCTTGCCCAGGTTGCATGTCCTTGGCTAAATTTACGGTGGGAAATTGATACCACACCGATATAGGTATTCCACAAGCAAACTCACCCAAAACTGGCTAATACATACTACACAGATTCATCGTCCTAAGTTTAGCTGAGGTTGCTTGCGATAATAATATTGCTTGCTATTATAGTATATGTTGTTCAACTTAGTATCGGTGTGGCATTAATTGAATCAGCTAAAAATAGAGAGCAGAATCTATGACTTCGTCTCATTATTATGGAAATACGTGATTTCGTCTGATTCAGAGGAAGTTTATCATACCAACTCAAAGCTGATAATCACATTGTAGCGCCTGGGCAGCAAACGACCTTGGCTAATCTTAAGGCGGAGAACCTATAACTTCGTCTGATTAAGCCAAGGCCGCTTGTGATCGAGGTACTGCAATTAATCCAAATGATTAACACATATTGCAGCCACATACGTGCATTTTGTTAGAAATTGTTTAATTTTTATTAAAAAAAATGTGGCACATTGTTACAATTTAGCAGAAGATATTTTGTCTTAATAAACCTTTGTTGTATATCACCAGAAGGGTCACCTTATGTTCAATGGTTTATAAACTCCTTTCGTTAACCCTTTCGCTCAACTACTTTGCTAAAATGTCAAAATCTTCTGGAATTGCAAAAGATAAAATTTAAAACATTGGTTAATTAGATTAAATTTAAAATCTATTTTACTATACTATCATTAATTTTCCACAATTCTTAAACGATTTGAAATCAATTCCGTGGAGAAATAATAACTGTTTACTAAACCTGATGGATTTGCATGCGCCTTTAAAAACTAGACGGTTTATAAAGCCTCCCGGTCCCTGGCTAACAGATAATACTAAACTACTAATGTCTATTCGAGATGATGCTCTTAAAAAATTCAAAAAGTCTAAGCTAACTCAAGACTGGGTTTCATACAAGTTGCATCACAATCTGGTAACATCAACGTTACGGACTGAAAAAAAAGGCATACTATGATTACGCCTTACATAGTAAACATCCAAAAGCTCCTTGGAGAAAGATTAAACTTTTAAATATAAATAAAAAAATCGATAACAAAGTACCTAACATTTTTCTTCCAAATGATTTCAATAATTATTTTGTTCACGGTGATTCTTCACTTTATATACAGACTGATCCCGACTTACCCGTATTTTATCAAAATAATGTAAACCCTAGAGTGCAGATAATGCAAGCTTTTATCCCCGTTGATGAACATGAAGTATCTATAATAATTAATAACATTAAAAGTGCAGCGGTGGGTTCTGATGGTATCTCAGTCTGGATGATTGACTTGTGTACCCCTTTTCTCATTCCTTATATTACTCACGAAATAAATACTGCTGTTCATCAATCAGTTTTTCCGAATGCATAAAAGATGGCTGAAGTAATTGCGTTACTTAGAGTATCTTCCCCTTCTGCCCTAAGGGATTTTAGACCGATCAGTATCCTACCAGTAATGTCAAAAATTTTAGAGTCTTGGAAAGGCAAGCTGAAATCTTATTGAACCTTACTGATGAGGTATTTGCTTTTAGAGAGGCCGAGCAAGCCGTACTTTTTTTATCGTTGGACTTCACCAAAGCATTTGATACAATAAATCATAATATACTTGCATCTAAACTTCATTATTTTGGTCTTGGAAATCAGGCTGTAATTTTGATAAAGTTATTTTTGTCGGATAGGTCTCAAGTTGTGAAGATTAATAGTCAGATATCGAGCGCTCTGTCTGTTACTCGTGGAGTCCTTCAGGGGTCCATTTTGGGGCCACTATTGCTCTCTATATATACATCTGATTTTAACCAAGTTCTTGAGCATTCGCAGATTCACTTGTATGCAGATGATACACAGCTTCTGCTGAATTTTAATTCAAATAATTGGGATGATGCCTGCATAAAATTTAACTCAGATGTAGCATTATTTTCTGATATTGCGAAACGCCATGAGCTTGTGCTTAATCCATCTAAGTCTTCTGTTTTGCGGTAGTGTCACAAGGACAGCAATTAAACCTTTGATATTCAATTCAATTGGTGGTGGATGGCGAACCTCTTACTGATTCTGATGATATAAAAATTTTAGGAGTTACATTGGATCATCAGTTGAGGTTTGAGGAGCATGTGGTCATGTGCTCGAGAGGTGGGTATGGCGCCCTCCGTCTTTTGTATGCCCATAGGGATGTCTTAAATAAAAAATTAAAAATTATGCTGTGTGATAGCTTGGTTCTAAGCAAATTAAATCACTGCGACGTCTAAATTTAATGGGGCCGAGTGGGCGTCGTATCCAGAATCTCCAGAACGGTTGTCTAAGGTTTATCTATGGAATTCGTAAATATGACCATATTAGTCATAAGTTCTCTGCCAACTTATGACTGGTATCTGTCAGAATCGATGTCCATAATATTAATGTAAGAAGGAAAGATGTATTGACAGTACCACGCCGCGCCTCGCACCGATCCTTTTCCTACCAGATAGTCAAGACGTACAATGATCTACCAGTGAACCTTATGGGATTGAGCTGTATTTCCTTCAAGAGTAAGTTAAAATCTTCCCTCCTGCTTGAGTCATCATTATTTTCTTTTATATTTTGAGCTACTAACGCATGTCGTCGTATTTTGTTATTTTTTCATTTTGTTTTATTGGGATTATTAAAAAGATTTTCATTTTTGTTCATATATATATTTTCTATATACTCTGGATTAACTGGAAGAGCACTTGGTTAATAACCAAACTGAACTTCGTCCAGAAAATAAGTCTATTTTCTACGAATGTATTATTATTTTTTTGCTTTTTTGCGACTTACTAATAAAGGCATTTATTATTATTATTATTAAAACGATTTTACATTTAATAGTTTAGCCTAATAATTTTTTATTACAGCATCAATAAAAAGAAATAAAGTGAAAATTGAGAAGTGTCATCATCAGGCGCACAATCCACTTCCCCTACAATATAATTGCATGGAAATTATGGATCGAATTACGGATTTAATTAGGATTTATATGACGTCGAAAAACGGTGGAGGTGACCACTGCCCCGTTTCAAGCACACAACCGAAAATAAAATAAACACGACCATACCAATTAATTAAAACTCATTCATAAATTATAGACGCGCACGCTCGGGAATAACTCCGGTTTGCCCACTCTGTCGACGGCACGGCGCCGTCACACATACACGTGCATACACACACACGTGCAGACACAAATTCGCACACACGGAATTCGAATGGCATTTAAATTTGGAGGGACGCCGAGCGTCGGCGAACGCAGAAATTACATGCAGGTTCATTAATATCGACTATTATCATTTGCCGTGTTAGTGTATATGTCCGGGATATTGTGGTTAAACGTGATTACGATGTTATGGAAATTGGAATTTGTAATTACCGCGTTGTAATCTAATGCCCGTCCTTTATAACCGTCTAACTACGTATATCGAATGTGTACACCAAACGTTTTCTCTTGTTCATTTATATATCCCCCCTATTTATTGAATTATAAGAATTTACTATTGTTAATAAGATTTATTACTATTTTTCAATAAGAAGAAGATAACGGGGTCGTTATCTTCAATCGAATAGAACCATGATTCAAAAAATCGATAAACTATGTAAAAATAGAAGGATTGGTAACATTTTCAGATCCTAAAATTGTTTAATTTTTGCAATAATTAATATTAAAATTCAAAATCCCCTCTATAAAAGCTTTGGTGACGTTTATGAGATTTTCGCGTAAGATCAAGAAGACACAAACGTGCATCGTTCGGATTTCTTGTTTTAGCACATAAAATTCTCGTGGTATCTCACTCATGCATCTCATCAGTTTCAACCAATCGCGAGCCAAACGACGGTGACGTGTCCAAAGTTTTTTCAAATTTTCATTATTTGAAAAACTAAAACCCATTTTGAAAAATAAAATATTATAGAAGTCTTCAATTTTGCTAAACTATCGAATAAGCTAATAAAAAAATGTGTTTTTATAAGAAGATTTCAACAAATATTATTCATCGGCATCAAACATAGAAATAATACCTTAACATTGTATTTATAATTATCGTTGATTTATTTTAAAATATCCAACACTGGTTGACAAATTCGTTTCGAAACGTAACCGCCAAACATTCATTAACGCCACAAATATAGATTGAACCGCGGTAAAAGCACTAAAACATTGAAACAGATACAAATGCGCGTAATTGTAATCAAATATCAAACAAGCAAACCGGCTAATGTTCGATTTAACGTGTCGATTTTGAAAGAACCGTTATAAACATCCGGATAATAATCATTGTTTTTTGATTGCAACGATTGGATAAAATGAATTTTTTTATTTACCTCGTTTTTGTAGATCATCCTTTGTAAATTGACTAGTTAAGGAAGTGGGTGCCGGTGGTAACCCTAAATGGGGTGTCGTTGGAGCCCCAGGATACCAAGACCAACCGGGGGCTTGTCCATTGAACATACGCAGCTTATCGTAAACCGATTCGCTTTGAGTTGCTTGTTGTTCTTTTTGTGATGCCAAATTTCTTAATACTCGGTTTATTGAAGACACCTGAAATAAAACAAATTAATTAATTAATAAATTAATCGACATGTTATTCAGATGTATTAAAGAAAATCTCATTTCAATACTGCACATGATTATTCAGAACTGTGCTTTTAATTTTCTTAAAATATGTCTTTCTGTACATCCATATAACTTTCATTGATAAATGTAGTTAGTACCATAATAATCTTGAATACATTTGTAATACGTTAGTTTTCTGCAACCTTTCTATCCCTGCATTTTGTAGCATTGCCACAACTGACAATAAGTTTTGGGTTTCTTTGCGAAATTATAAAAATTACTTGAAATACAGTCGAATGCAGCAGGAAATAGTACAAGTAATATTGCAGATATGTCTATACATGAAATAAATGTTGATGGTGATGCAACAAACTAAGAATGTCTTCGAACACCATAAAACCAAAATGGCAAAACAATACATATGTGTAAAATACTTATTAATTGATGTGATAGATAAAGCTGATAGAATCAACTCAACACATTTGATTATCTTATATTTTTTTTAAATTCCTCGTTGTTAAACCCAACTCAGCATTTTTGATAGTTTTAGATTTTGAGATATTCAAAGAGTCGTAGCTCAAAAACGAATTAAAATATGATGATGAAATAAGAATCATTTTAAAGGGAATTTATAACCCAACAAATTTAATTATTTTAGGTTTTAAGAAACTTAATAAATTCTATCTCAAGCCGATTCCTTACTGGTAAGACGTGTCACAAAATCATTTGAACCATAGATCACTAGCAATACTATGCCTATGACTTTGCCTCCAATTTTCCTTGTCTCTATCCTCTCTCTAGATACTGTTGAATTAAAATCCAAAACAAGGAAACTGTAATCGAGCGGATACTATTATAAAGATATAGATAATTTTACCACGGGAATTATCTGTAACATAAAAGTTTACTTTGGCAGAAGCTATATCATCAAAGGCGACTGTTCTGATAAAGTTGATATATTTATAATGGAACTGTTTACTGCAATTAGACCCAAACACTTACTGTCTATTTTATAAAAACAATTTTTAACAACTCTATGAATACCTATGGTTAAGTAAACGATGTTTTGTTGTTATGCTTTGAAAGCTCAAGATTTAAAACTGAATTTAGCTTTAAGATGGTTAGATTTTAGTAAATCCTTTAAAAGTGATGATCATTGTGTTCAGATTTGTGGTGCTTGATAGATTGGGAATAAACTCCGGTTGTTAATTTCAAGTTATCTGACTGATATATCTTAGGTCGTGAAGAGTGACAATTCCCTGTCTGCTTCTAGATAAATTAATAGAAGCGTGTCACAGCATCTTTGGTTCACTATTATATTCGCTTTATACTCAACTTTTTATGTTTAACTTCCAAATCTATTTTAGGTGTGCAAAAAATATATGTATGGTAGTGGAATCATAAGATCATATGTTACAGGAAAACTTAAGTCAAGACTAAGTGGACTAAATCTTAAAGCGGGCAATATGGCAATTCATATTTCTGATATCCTTAATGAATCCTTAATAGAAGATCAAAAGAAGCATGATACAACTTTATCGCTGTACATGATTGGTAGTCTATGATTAAAATGTTGCCAAAATTCTACTAAATGGACTAAATCTTAAAGCTGGTCAGAAAGCTGTAATGCTGTTTAGAAGTGGATGTTATATTTTAACTGAATATTTCTGATATGGTTCCTGAGACTAGAAATTTAATCATCTTATAATAAAAAATCAAAAGAAGCATGATACAACTTTATTGCTGTACATGAAACCTGTGATAAAAATGTTGCCAAAATTTAGCCTTGAACTCGTAACTAGAAGCTTTTAAGTAGAACATGGGCTATTATTCTGATTATTAAGGTATTACGAATCACGCATTGATTAAAGACAAATTCGTATACTTAGCAAAAGGGTGTCTTTAGAGACTTTTTAATGACTAAGACCAATGATCTAAAATATGAGGAAAGCGATTATCGAGCTAAACAGGTGAGTTTTATACGAAACTAGCTTTAATATGACTTATAGTCTAACTGAGATAAATTGGTAGCCTCAATGAGTTATCTTACGACTTGATAGATATTTAGCAACAAGAACAGTGCCTCTTTGATTTGTTGATTGAGCGGATAGTAATCGATGCAGAATCAAATATTTCGTATGCTATGGTAGAACGCATGCTGGACAATGATTGATGAAAGCCATTCGCCGTACACGTTCCATCCTTCTTGGTTCTAGAAAGACGAGTACGGCGGATGGCTCTCATCACCCATTGTCAAGCATGCGTGCTATTTCCCAAGCGATGATCGTTTTCTGTCAACAGTCTCGCATAAGCCTTTCGAAAGCAAAATGATAAATTGAAAATTCATAATAAGGTGGTAACTAGTTCTCAAACAAAATAATAGAAATGGTTAAACTGGAACTATCAGAAAATTTTGTTTATGATAAACTTCACCATAACTATTCAGAACCCCTGGCGTTGGTATTTTATTGATATTGGGAGCTTTTTGTACGGACACTTATACACTCGTACAATCTTTGAATGTTACTTATTTTTGCCCTATATGGTATTTTCATAACGATATTATAAAGATAGTCATAACTTTACTATGGGAATTATCTGTAACATAAAAGTCTAGTTATCTGACTAACATACTTTATCGGTCATGAAGAATGACAATTACTGTATGCTTCTAGCTAAATTACTAGACGCAGTATCTTGGGTTCACTATTATATTTGCTTTATACTCAACTTTATACTTTTACTTCCAAATTTGCTTAAGGTGTGCAAAAAATATATATATCGTGGTGGAATCATAAGATCATATGTTGCAGGAAAACTTAAATCAATATTAAATAAACTAAATCTTAAAGCTGGCCAGAAAGCTGTAATGCTGTTTAGAAGTGGATGTTATACTTTAGCTGAATATTTCTGATATGGTTCCTGGGACTAGAAATTTAATGATCTTATAATCCTTAATAAAAATCAAAAGAAGCATGATACAATTTTATAGATGTACATGATTGGAAACCTGTGATAAAAATGTTGCCAAAATTTAGCCTTGAACTTAATTAGAAGCTTTTAAGTAGAACATGGGCTATTATTCTGATTATTAAGGTATTACGAATCACGCATTGATTAAAGACAAATTCGTATACTTAGCGAAAAATCTATCTGATATCAAGCACTGCAACGAATATAACGTAACTGAAGGGTGTCAAAAGTTAGTTAAACGAGTGTCTCTACTACTTTTTCTGTGCTAATGTTTATTATTTCTTTATAATTGAGATTAATTTAATGACTAAGACTAAAATGATCTAAAATATGAAGAAAGCGATTATCGGTTTAAACTGGTGAATTTTATACGAAACTAGCTTTAATATGAGTTATAGTCTAGCTGAGAAAAATTTATCAATTTTTCTCACTGAGTTATCGTACGACCTCATAGATATTTAACAACAAGAAGAGTAATCGATGCAGAATCAAATATTTCGTATGCTATGGTAGAACGCATGTTGGACAATGAGTGATTAAAGCCATTCGTCATACACATCTCCATCCTTCTTGGATTTAGAAAGAAGGAGACGAGTACTGCGGATGGCTCTCATCAACCATTGTCCAGCATACGTTCTATTTCTCAAGCGATGATGGTTTTCTGTCAAGAGAGCATCAGTTTGAAGGAACCCTCAGTTTGAAGGAATCCTCATAGACCTTTTCATCCGTCAGAAAATTCATAATAAGGTGATAACTAGTTCTCAAACAGATTGATCGAAATAGTTAAACTAGGAACCATCAGAAACTTGTTCTTGCAGTTGATTTTGTTTATGATAAACTTCACCATAACAATTCAGAACCCCTGGCGTTGGTATTTCCTTGGTATTGGGAGCTTTCTGTATGGACACTTATTGCAATCTTTGAACGTTATTTATTTTCGCCCTATATAATATTTTACTCTCACACGGTAATAGATCCTTTGCTTCCAGGTTACAGTCTATAACAAATCAGGTAATATTTATGCCCATGTGGTTCTACGCTATAAAAACGCTAAGTTAATGATCTCTTTTTGACGTAATTGGCATGAGAAGAGACTTTCCTGGCATTCCTTGCTTTCAAAGATGCTAGTAATTTTAAGACACATACACCAAAGACGAAATATTTAAAGATTTTTTAGTGGAACACTTCCAATGATACTCGCAATCACTACACATACAACATATTTGGCAGTGTAAGAATAAATGTGGTAATAAATCTGTTAAATTTAAAAATTAAGTTGTATCAATTCTTGAAATTTGACACAAAATAATGCAAAACAATGCATTTTTGACAACAAATTTCTTGGAAACTATAAAACTCATTGGATTGAATAACAAAACTTTTGGCAATGAAGAACAAAATGTTTCTAGTTAGAACCGATCGAACTCAATTATTTAGATATGGCATAAAAAAATCAATACTTAAAAGCCTTCAATATAAAGGTAAGTATGAAAGACGAAATTTGTAACTATTTTATTATTCCTTCATTAAGTTAATTTGAAAGTGTAAAAAAAAATTTAAAAGATATAATGAAAAGCTCTATGTCTTGTTATTTGTTTTTTTATTAGAAACTGCATGCCAAAGCTCTTTTCATCGTTTCGAGAAGGAAGGAGAAGGTGGATGGAACGAGAGCTTTTTTGTGGGAAACCCAGTGTGCAAACAATGGCACGTCCAGATGCCGTGCAGCCGTCGCGGTCCGAAAACGGGAACGAACGGGGGCGGCAGCACACCCCCTCCATGTAACTAGCTTAAAGTTGATCCCTGCACGTTATTACGGCTCATTCTTTGCGACTAACCATGCGTAAGACAACACCTCGTCATTGTCTGTCGTCTGCACGCGCACAACCCTCCACGACGTTTACGTTTAGTTTTGTTACAAAAATAGCTTAGTATCAGCTAAAATAATTAAAAAAAAATTTGCATTTAATCTAAAATTAACTTCCTCCCCTTTATTTTATTACGACTCATTCTTT